TTGCTAACTCTTTAGTTACTAGATCTTGGGCTACTGATTGGGAAATATATATATATATATATATATATATTTTATTTTGGTTTTGTTCCCTTTCCCTTCCCCCTTCCCCTTCCCTTGTGAAATTGTATATATATTACATTGTATATATTTCAATTGTAACATAAGTGTAAATATATTTATATATATCACTTTAGCTGTCTCTCTCATTTCGGGTTTTCTTAGCTGGTTGTTTTTCTCCGTCTTCTCCCTGAGGTTTTGGGGGGGGGGGGACTTCTGGTGGTAAGGTTTGGAGACTTGGCAGGGAGCCAGCTTCAAACTATATCACTGATCCTCGCGTCCAATATAAGAGACAAGCAGCTGGGGAAGAACCCTGACAATCTGAACCCTGACAATATCCTGTTGACTTTATTTTATGAAATAGATTGTCTTGACATTTAAAAATATCAGTTTGAAAAAAAAAAAAGTTTTCATTAGAATGAGGATAGATAAAAAAAAAAAAAAGAAAGCGTTACACAGCAAAATCTGAAGCAGAAAATTTGGGGAAACATCTGTACAAATTGTAAGTGAAATATAAAGGTGATAAAGAAAAAGTACGTAATAGAAAGCTCCCAGAGTGGTTTACTCAGAATAAGGAATATAGAATGTCATTAAATAGAAAGCTTTAAGAGTGGTTTACTGTGAAAAGAAAGTTTAAAAAGAGAGTACTGAAATCGGAAGAAGTAATGATTAAGTAAATTAAATGAAAAATTCTGCTTCTTTAGATCTCTGTTGTCTGTAACCAAAACATAATCCCTCAAAGAGCTAATCTCAGACAAACTGTGTTACTCCCTTGTGCTTATTTGCCCTTTTACTTACTTACCCTTAGTATAACTTGATTTCCTTTCCTTATTGATTGCTTTTGTCACACTAAAGGACCCAAAGACTCATTAAGAAAACTATAACTAAGGTTCTGTGTTAACAAAAAACAGTACAATTATTTATATATATTTTTATATACTTTTTTGTATCTTAAGAATCAATTCTTGTTCCATGATAAATTCAAGAAAGTTTTCTTTAAACTTGCTTTTCTATAAAACAGAAAAGGGGGATATATTGGGATCCAGTTTTTGAGAAAATGTGGTTTAGGATTTTTGTTATGTTATTATACTATGTTATTGTATTATTCCCTTTCATTGTACCCCCATTTTCCCTTATTTTCCCTAAGCCTTCGAACCCTGAGTTTCTATTGGCCAGTTAGTGCTGCATTGCAGTACCAACCTTATATGGTCATTTCTTCCTTATATAGATATGCTCCTCCCCTTGTTCTCCCTATATGGTCCTAGTTTGCATACTCCACCCTTGCTCCTCCCCAGTTACTCCCCTTGTTCCAGCAAGTTCTGCTCCTGCCCTATAAAAGGCAGGAGCCGTGGTAATAAAGTGTTCCATTTTGCACCTGACATTGAAATGTGTGATCCCTCATTCCTACTGGGCCGTTGAGGACACTGAGAACCTGTTTCCCACATTTCAGTCCTGTGACCACGGGCAGGGACAGGCCCTGGGTGCTGCTGGGACAGAGCTGGGCTCTTTACCTTCCAACCTTCTCCTTTAGGCACACAAGGTCGCTTGCAGCAGCTTTTCCCTTCAAAAAAAGCATTACAGAGAAAGACCTCCTTCCTCCTCAAAATGCTGCAGAAGCTTTGAACAGAAGACAAGTTTGGCTCACTGCAGGGGGAAAGGATGCTGATCCAACCTGAATTTGTAATGGGAAATGATGGAGCCCTTGGGAATAGTAGGAGGAACAGAGGAGTATTTTATAGGTACGGGGCTTTGGAGCAGTACTGGTCTCTGCTGCTTGTCAGATGTCACTGAAGAAGTGTTGGGCTGGACTGCTGTGAGATAAAGCACTTTAACATGTGAAAACCAGCCCTTCTGTGGGACAGTTGGACCCCTTCACTCCAGACTTGTGCCTGTGCCAAGGGCACAGCACAAAGAAAGGCCACTTGTCACACATGAGCTCTGCTGTGAGCCAGCTCCGAGCTCAGCCTGATGAATCCTTAAGTTGCTGGGTTTTCCCTTCAGCCCAGGGTTTCCCCTGCCAGTGTTTGCACAGCACACAGAGTGCAGGGGCCGCAGCAGCTGGAGGGTCCCTGGATCAGGGTCAGGTCAATTAAAATCAGCCCAATCCGTATTTCTAAGGCTCTGCAACACATTTGTGTGCAATGAATGCACTGTGCTGACACTCCTGGAAAGAGCTGAGTCTGCAGCACACGTGTATTTTGCTAAGTAGGAAAAAAACCCATCAAAAAACCCCTTACTGCACCATTCCCAGTCGATGGGGCCAGTTCAGGCCCATTTGCCTCTTTCTGACCTTTGCTATCAATGCTCCTCCCAGCAGATAATTACCCACATGCTATTTTTTTTACCCTGCAATTTCCTCTAATCTCAAATAAATGCTATAATTGACCTCTGTCCTCCCAGTGTACATGACACATTGAGCAGGGCTGTGCCCACAAAAGACTGTTTGAAAGCACTGTCTGTTCACACTGGGGCCACTTCTATTGTGGGTGCTTTGAACCAGAAGTCAGACCTCAAATATCCAATGCTGTGAATCATTACCCAGGCAAAATAGATATTTTTCAGGTGGCTGCTAAAGAAAGCCTATGATGTGGAACTGAAATGGTCCATGTGAGCCAGAGCTCACCTCGGCCAGAAGCAGTTTCACAAACAGTTGCTAATTTGCACACTGGACCATTTTGTTTCTGCCCAGACTCTCTGTGCACACCCAGGAGGCTTTTAACCAAATACAGTGCTTTCAAAGTAGCTTGGAATGTTTTCCGCTTCTGGAAATCACAAATTTTAGTGCAAAGAATACCTGCTGCTTATTCCTGCTGCTCCATCCCACAGGCTCCCGGAAAATCCCTGAGCGGTGCTTGGCAGTTAACACTTACTTTCCCCTGCCAGTCACTATTTTCTAAAGAATATTTTTGCCTCTTAGCTGTGGTTAATGGGCTTTGTCTGTACTGTATGGATTCAGTCAGGGCATCCCTGAAAGGTGGTACTTAATAAAAGAGAACATGTTGATGAAACTTCCTCCCCGGCCAAGCCCTGGGCTTTTCCCATGGGCTCCGCTGCAGTGCACATACCCAAATGACCTTGGGATTTAAGCTGAAAAACTACTGTCTTCTCAATGCCTACTTGGCTTTGGGGCAGAAATTCCATCACTGCTCTCATGGCAAAGGCTGGTGACAAGGGAGGCTGGTGACATTCCCCAGTGGAGCAGCGAGCCTGTAGCATGTCCTGCATTCACTAAGCAGTGCCAGCACAGGTTGCAGCCCCTGCTTTCAGGGCTGTTTGCTCCCCTGGGCTGTTTGATGTCACCTGGCTGGGGTAGCAGTGTGACAGTGCAGGGCTGGAGGAGCTCCCAGCCTTCCCCATCCCCAAAAGCAGGGCTCCAGCATAGCTAATCCCCTGCTGCCAGCTCCCACAAACAATGTCCCTCTGGAGTAAACACAGCTGGGGAAGGAGAAGAGGGAACTTTATTTTGCAGTCATTTGTGGTAGTGTTCATGCCTACAACCCCAAGTGCTTTCTCTGCTTATGCACCAGAGCAAGTAATAATAGTATTTTTCACTGATACAGTGATTTTCATCTCTAGGACTCTCTGCAGACCTGGCCTGTGGTCTGGGGATGGCCTCACCTGGGCAGGTGAACTCCAGTCATACACAACAAAACTGTGCTCCTTGTCTCTGCAGAGATTTTGGAAATATCACCTGCCTGCTCAGCACCTTCCAGGGAGCTTTGGTCTCATCTCACCCAGGGCTGCAGAAGGGCCCAAGGGATGTTCCTCAAGGCTCAGGCTAGGAAGTGGTTCCACCTGATGGACTTGCCTTTAGCTAGATGGGGACTTCAGGAGTGGAATGACTGAAAGCTCTGCTCTCTCCAGTATCAGAGAAGCCCTGCTCAGCAGGGAGGAGCAGGCAGGACTTCTCTGGAGCTCCCTTTCTCTGGAGATATTCAAAACCAACCTGGACACAACCCTATGTAACCTACTCCAGGTGAACCTGCTTTAGCAGATCTCCAGATCTCCCAACTATTCTGTAATTCTGTGGTTTTCTGGCTCACTGTCCTCAGTGACTGGGCTGCCATGTGCATCACATATGAGAGAGGAAGGCAGGAGGCAGAGGAGCAGTGTAAAACACGGCCAGGTCACTAAAAATAAGAAATGAAAAGCTGAGCATGAGATTGCAGAAACTGAAAGCAGGTGTAGGATGGACTGAGAGCCATGGGACAAAACAACTGAGTCACAGAGCAGCAGGTCTGAGAGCAGGAAAGGTTAAAACAAATATTGTTGAATTGGCTTAAGACTGCAATCAAAGCTGGAGATTGCATTCGGGTTCTACACACTGAGCTGTTGTTCTATCCTGCTCTAATTTCTGTCAGTGTTACTGTTGGAGGAGCAGCTCCACTCGGGCTCTCAGCTCCTGAGGGAAACATGAGTGGGACTTCAGGAAGGGTGGGTTTAGATTAAACATTAGAGAGAAATTACAGTCTTAAGCTCTGCCAGGGGAGGTTTAGAAAATTTTTTACAGAGAGAGTAATCAGCCATTGGAATGGGCTGCCCAGGGAGGGGGTGGATTCGCCATCCCTGCAGGTTTTTTTTTTTAAGACGAGACTGGATGTGGCACGGCAGTGCTGGATCAAGGGTTGGACTCGATGATCTCGGAGATCTTTCCCAAGCTGGCTGATCCTGTGATTTTACGACTCTATGAATTCTTCCCTGCGAGCGCGGCGAGGCACCGGCACAGGCTGCCCAAAGATGTGGCCGCGCCCCACCCCTGGAAGCGTCCGAGGCCAGGCTGGACGGGGCTTGGAGCAACCCGGGTCTAGCGGAAGGCGTCCCTAAACCAGGGCAGGGCTGTGGAAAGGGTCTGATCTCTAAGGCTCCGATGCCATCGCCCCGTGCCTGCCCCGGGCTCTGCGGGGCGGGGCCGGGCGAGCGGGGCCGGCGGAGCGGGAGCGGCGGGAGCATGGAGCGGGCACCGGGAGTGTTCGGGGGACCCAAGGTGAGCTGGCGGCGCTGCCGCAGGCAGGGCTGGGAACGGGCATGCACCGGGAGCAGCGGAGCTGGGAGAGGTGGCCAGAGCTGGCTGGAGCTGTGCGTGTCCCGGCCGCGCCGAGGAGATGGCACTAAAGGTGCCCGCGCTGGCTGTGCCGAGGGAGTTTGGGTGGGTGCCTTGCCCTGCTCCCTGTAACACTGCGGCCTCTGTGCTGAGCTGATAGTACAGGGATTTGACTTGGGAACAAAACTTCAAAGCTAAAAATTAAAAAAAAAAAAAATTTACAACGGTGATCCTTATTGAGGGGACTGCAAATGCACAACAGTGTGTTCAGAGCGATGTTGTCTTTGGCTAAACCACTTCTTGAGTACAGCCTGACCCCTCACTCTTGGCACGGGTGCCTGGTTCTGCTGAGGCTGCATCGAGCTCAGCCATACCTTACACAGTGGTACCTTGTGTGCTCAGTCCTTCAATAATGGGATACAGGGATGCTCTTGGATAAACTTCCTGCATCCACTTGTCAGCTGTGATGGCAGTGAGAGGCTGGCTTGGTGCTGCACAGAGTGCAAGGGCTCTGGTTATTGCTCCAGCCGGGGGTGGGTGTGAGATCCATGGTGGGTTGGCGAGGACGTGGCCCTGCCACCCCATGGGAGGCATCACCTGTGATGACACACAGCCACCATCACCTGTTAACGTCACGAGTCTTGTACCGAGGTCAGTGAAGGTCGAGTAGTTGGTGCTGGGAGGATGGTACCAAAGGCTTCCCAGCACAGGAGTAACCTCCTCTTCCACAGCCACCAAACCCCTGTATCATGTCAGTGCTTGTCTGGAAAGCATGGATGTGTTTTGCAGCAGGGTGTCGTGTGGGTTTTGCAAGTCTCCCATGTTTCTCTTTCAAAGGCTCAAGCCTTAAAGCATGTGGCAGATTCATCTCCCAGATGCATTTGTGGGTGTTGCCAGATTTGAGGACAATGCTGTGCCACTTCCACTTCACATCCCTCTTGAGCCACTCGCACCTCTTGCTCCTAAATGAGTGTTTGTGGTGAGCTTAGGATGAGGATGACTTTGCTCCTGACAGCACACTTCCATAAACCAGTATTTGGGAAACACAGTTCATTCTTTTTTGCAGTGGTTGGCATTTGTCTTATCTCTTGTTCAACTTTGCTCTCCATTAACATTTGCCTGCCACACTTATCTAATAATTGACAAATTACAGCTATAATTGCCCTATTTTTCAGCTATTGAGGTTAATAGAATGAATTTAAATTGTCAGCTTTTAATGGCCTGATAAGTAATCCTGGGCAAAGTCACTGTTAAGGGTTTTATGATGCCGTTTTACCAGCTGCAGTTGGTGTTACTTTTACTGTGGTGTTAGGACTGACTTTGGTCATTGTATGTATTTTAAGAAAGACCCTAGAACTACCTCATACAGAAAATCCTTCAAGTGCCTTAGCTTGGATGGCTCTTTTTATGCCATATAATAGGTAAACTGAGCAGTTAACTGCTCTGCCATGGTCTGCTGAGCAAACTCTAACAGAGAAATTGTATTGGATTTACTGTGGCTGAAAATACTTTGAATGTTTGGTTAACTTTTTCCTCCTAATTTCACTAAATTGAAAATAATCAGAATGGAACATACTTGTTTGAGTACCTGATTTTGAATTTAGTTTTGAAGCTTATTAAGTCTCAAAGAAAACATTACAATATTGCCAGAGAAGTCACGCCAGAGCCCTTAAAATTTCTCCTTTTTAAAATCTGAACCAACTTGCTGATAACTGCACCAGTGAGTCGCGTGCCCTGGTTGAGCTGAAACTTTTTTTGCATAAAAATGGAAAGCACTGGGTTTGCTCTGATGGCCTTGCTGGGGGCTGTCTGTGCTGAGGACACACAGTTTACAGCCAGTTACATCTTTTGAACTCACCCCTCTGGCTTTCAACAACTCTTTAGTGAAACTAAAGGTTTTATTGAATTGCACTCTGGGTTTTTGGTGCCCTGGCAGGAGCTCAGTGGAGGTGCAGAAGAACACAAGTGTGGCTGCACAGAGTTGGTCTTGATGGTCCTCACTGCAACTGGGGGACGAGCAAAGCTCCTGCCCCAGGAAAGCGTTGGA